AACTGTCTGTCTGTCTGTCTGTCTGTCTGTCTGACTCACTCAGTACATAAAACTGTCTGTCTGTCTGTCTGACTCACCCAGTACATAAAACTGCCTGTCTGTCTGACTCACTCAGTACATAACACTGTCTGTCTGCCTGTCTCACTCACTCAGTCCATATACCTGTCTGTCTAGGGCAACAGTAGGGTTAGGGTAGAAGTAGGGTTAGGGTAGGTTAGGGTAGATGTGGAGTTAGGGTAGAAGTGGGGATGAGTCAGGAGAAGAGAAAGGATGTTGCTTCTCTCTTTTCTACTTCCCCCTTCTTTTTGTTCTCATCAACTCCTTTTCTTTCTTTTGTCTTTTCAGTTCCCCCTATTCTCTTTTCCCATTTTATTTTCTCTCCTTCTTCTGTCTTTTCAATTCCTCATTTTCTCTCTTCTTGTTCTCTTTGTTCTCTTTCTTCTCCCTCTTCTCCTCCTCCTTCCTGTCCTTCTTCAGCGTCTTTTCCGCCTCCTTCCTGGCCTTCTTCTCCTCCTTCTTAAACTGCGCCTTCTCCTTGTCAGTTTGTTGGGCGAGCTCTTGAAGACTGAGGTTATGTTCCTGGAGGTCAGCATTTTGCTGTGTCAGGAGCTTGATCGCCTCCTCCTTTTGGTTGCGCCACTCCTCCTCCATTTCTCTGCTCTGTCTCTGCAGCTCCTGCTCTCTCTGGAAGCTCTCCTCCTTTGCAGCAAGCTCACTTCTCATCCGATCTTCCAGAGCCGTGAGTTTTATTTTCCACTCCGCCTCGCTCTGGATGAGCTCGCTGTCTTTCTGCCTGGCGTAGCTCTCCAGGTCCAGGATGGTCTGCCTCAGCAAGTTCTGTTGCTGAGTTTCAAGTTTTGCGTCCATGTCCATCACATTCTTTCTGAACGTCTCGTTCTCCTCTTTCAAGGATTTAACAACCCGGTTGAACTCGGCACTCTCGTTCTGCTTTTCAAGCAGACTTTTAATTTCGTCCTTCTTCTTCTCTGTGACCACCTTTTCTATTTTGCTACGCTCTCTCTCTGACTTGAGAGTATTGATTATTTTCTGTTTCTCATGGTCCCAAGTGAACTCTTTGGCGGCCATCTGCTCCTTCACGGCAACAATTTCCGATTACTGCTTGTCAGAGAGAACCCTGATTATTTTCTGTTTCTCATGGTCCCAAGTGAGCTCTTTGGCGGCCATCCGCTCCTTCATGACAACAATTTCTGTTGCCTGCCTTTCACAGAGAACCCTGATTATTAGATTCATTTTTATTAAGAATAGCAGGAGAAATATCTAAGTTGTAAAAGTAATAATAAAGTGGCATGGAATGCAGATAGAATAGATTAATAAAACTAAATAAAGTATCACGGAATATTTGTACAAAAGTACAAAATATGAAGACTTGTAAATGCTGTAGCTGTTTGATTTAGGGCAACATAAAGCATAATGGTACTTTAAGATCACTTTCAAAAGCAGCACTTAAATATAACTCAGGATAATCAAATGCTGCCAACTGAGAGCAGATAAAGGCTGAAGGAGCCCTTTATCTTAACTTTATAGTTTGCATTAACAGAGGTGTGGCCACATAGCGGCCGCACAGTTGTAATGATCTTCCTGATGTTGCAGTTTATCTCCATAATCTCCATATCGCCAAAGTTAGAAAATATGAAAAAAATACTTTGTAAATGTTGTGCTACTTTCTCTAAGTGAGTGTTATTAAATAATAACAAAAAATATCTCAAAATGCAACATGTCTGTCTTTGATTCTTTGACTTTTTGCAATGAAAAGTTCAAAGCTAACAGCTGAATTTTCATGTATTTTAAGACATTCACCCTCACAAGGGTGCACTTCAATAGTGCACGTTGTCTGACTGATTTCAGTCTTGTCTAATCGTAAAAAGATATGAGGCCATCTGAGGTCAGCAAAATTGAATAAAAAGACTCTGGGCTGAATGCGAAAGTGTTCCTTAAATAGGTATTTCAAATGTGAAGTCTTCCATCATTTAAATCCTGCAATATTTCATATTTGGCCTATTAAAAATGACAAAACTCGCGCAATGTTAATTATTTAATCATTAGAAAATGTTTTCAGAACACAAATGTGATTTTGTACATTTACATTCAAGCACATGAACAAGATCAATAATTTGTAAATCATGTGACACTTTTAACCTCTTTAACCCTGCAACAGCAAGAAAACACATGACAAAATGAACAGTATTAGTAGTCATTAATAAACGGTCTTGAGTTTCTCAATTTCTCACAAGTCATCAATAAAAGCCTGTCAGTCAACCAGAATAATATTTAATAAATCAATAATAAACTTCATAAAAGGCTCATGAGCATAATGCTTTATAAGCACAATCATAACACATTCTAATGTATCTATAAGGCTTCATAACAAGCCATCCTTATAGTTATCTCTAAAAATAAAATAAATCATATAGTACGCCATAAAACTGCCAAAGCATAATGAATCATAACAAATGTCATAGTCATTAGCATGGCTTAGTATGGTATGCTATGAAGATATCATACAATAATATGTTATAAACAATGTCATAGTATACATTTAATAAAAAATCATAATATAGTATGCCATAAAAATGTCAGAGCATAATGAGTCAAAAAATGCCATAGTATAGTATGCAATAATAATGTTATACACAATATCATAGTATACCATAAAAATGTTATACAAATATTTAAAAAATCATACTATAGTGTGCTATAAAAATTGTTAGCATAATAAGTTATAAAAATATCATAGTCTAGTATGTCATAAATATGTTATAAAAATGTCATATTATATGTCAAAGAAATATATCACATGCAATAAAAATGTTTTCAGGATGTTGGTCGTGAGCTACTGAGCCACACCTGAGCCTGCTGTGGTTCCAGCTTCATTTCTCCACCTGGACATTGAGGTCTCTTCATTATGCCAATACCAAAGCTGATCTGATTTACTAGGCGAGGAAGTCTGGCCACAATGTGAATTCTTCATCAAGACACAAATACATTTTTCTCCCACACAGGCTGCCAATGTGATGGCCTGAACTGTGCCAACATATACAGTATATTAACCTTAAGCTTTTAAATAAAAAATGACATTTCCACTTGACAACCTTGTATTGTAATGCCTTTAGTTTCATAAGAAATTCATATTGCTTTGAGGCCGAGGGCAGATATCAAGGCACCATTAGTGAAACTTGAAATGAATCCAAGAAATGAGATCAAGTACCATCTGGGAGTGAGCCTGTAAACACATCACAGACTGTTTTGTCTCCTTGCGATGTAAGTGTCTTGGTGAAACATCTGAGGGTTGCCAAGTTAACTCCTTACCATTCATTAATCAACGTCACAATGTCCGTGTTGCATGAATGCTGGCATAATATGTGAAATCGTGCAGGGTTGTTCGGAGCCTTTATGGACTATAAAGCTGCCATCTCTCGCCATTGACATCTCCTTGTATTCTGAGAAGTGCACTGTACTCCGAGAAGTGAGTGACTGAATAGAAAGTGAAGTTTCCTGAGAGAGGTTTATTCTGGCACGGGTACACTATAACATGCCCTGCTGCACAGGCACAATAATAACCAGATCTTTGGGGTCGTAACCCCCTAATTACCGCAGAACCCAGAAGTGATGACAACTACCTGTCAGCGTGGCCTGTGAAATGTGCTACCTACGCCGGACTGGGTTGCACCAGGTGACATCGGCCAGGAGCGCTCCAGCACCTCGGATGAAAGGTCGGTGTTATGGGTCTACATCCCAGAACCTGGGCCATTTCAGCACCTCAGAGGGACTTCTGGTCTTCTTGGCTTTCACCTATGCCTCGTTCATGGTACAGGGAGGAGCTGCAGACATCATTTCCCATGTCTGATAGCCATCTGCTCCCTCTCTCAGGTTCTCAGTATACTCCTCTTAGCCTGATCAAGGCCTTCTGCACCAATTACAGATCAGAGTCCTGCCCATTATGATGATTAGCCTGAAATAGAGACATGTCATGTTGTCAGTACAGCTCCTGACAGCAAGCTCTCATGCACAATCTTATCTGGACAAACATTATTATAAAGACAATAGATGAGGAATCACTGCCATCAAAACAATTCCTCTAAAAGATGAAAGAAAAACAGGAATTACAATTTTAGGTTTATTGATTGTGTTGAGGGACTTAGTATGTTTCAACATTGCAAACATACCAGACATTCAGTCCCATCACAACATCTTCAAAGTCTAAAAGTGGAGCAAAGGAAGTTAAGAGCGAGTACTCCCACCTGAAAACCCCTAAATCCGCCCATGGAAAAACTGGGAGGATACAATGAGGCATATGCGGAGCGGGTGCGCGCGTCTGCGCGTTCCCAGTGGACTGTGTGGAAGTTTCCCTGCAAGTTGAGAAAGACAAGGGGACTGCAGCGAGTGGAGCGGCACAGGTCACTGAGATAAAGGGGATACAGGAAACAAAAAGCTGGCATTGAAGCGTAAATGCGTCTTCCATACAATTAAGTCGCGAGCTCTTGTTGGTGTTTTTGGGATTACCTTCATGAAGAGTAACTTTAGCCGTAACGGCAGGTAAGTGAAATAACTTGACTGGGTTATCCTGACAGAATTACTTGAACAATGGTATGTCAAACTTTAATTGCGGCATTAACTTTTAATGTAAGGCTACACTTAAAATGTACTGGGATAAATTACCGGGTTATGAGAACCGGTGTTGTAAGCTCAACAAAATGTTATTGTAAAAAAAAGAAAAAGCCGTGAAGATGCTTCAATTAAAAGTTATCACTCTGCAGTTTTTATTTAATTGATAAGTCACTTTCCCCGCTACTTTTTATAGTTCCTATGAACTCTTGGGCAACATGATTTATCAAAAAAAAAAAGTTTCGCTTGTCAAGATACAGATCTCATTAAAAGATGCGGGGTGACATCACCAGCGGCGGTTTTAGCAGCGCGCTCGTGCGGCGCTCGGCAGAACAGCACGGCAATCACGCGCATCCCCGAAAAGCTTCCCATAAGTTCTGATTCATGCTACGAGCGCGAGACAGGACGAGCTGTGTTTTTGGCCAAATACTAATCCATGTCGTGATTAAAGACTTTTCCTTGAACCAGACACCTGAAACCTCTGAGTCACACTAATTGCATCACTAATCCTGTTTAAAACTGAGTGTGTGCAAACCAGCTTTCAGATGTTCACCTCCCATAACAAGGAAAAGTCACGGTTCGGAAGTTGCAGACATTTCTCATCTTTGTGGTTAACTGCGCATCTTACCTTGCCTGTGGTGTCAAGGTCCATGTATTTTAATTAGAAGGGAGAAGTGTGTGTGCGCATGCAGTGAGGTGAAGCTGAACAGGATGGGACATGAAGTTCAAACAGCCGACAGAGGGGGGAGAGCTCATTCTAGCTCAGCTCGTACTTTCCCCAAAACACCTTGTACTTCATCCGAAGGTTGAGCCAGGGGTTACGTTTTTAGCTCCAATCACTTGTTGGGCCAGTTAATGCACTGGAGTCATGATAATGAAAGGAAAAGTGAGGCCAGGTGTCAGACGAGCTCAGGTGAGGTCATCAGCCGTCTTGCTGATACATGACTCTGGGATGACACGGATTTCCCGTGTCTCTCTGTGTTCAATACTGCCTGAGATAAGATGTATTGTTGTCCTGTCTCCTAGGCTGCCACTATTGATGGGCCTTTAAACTCACTGGAAAACCGGAATAAGACGTCACTGACCGACTGAGCAGAGACAGCTCACCCGCCATCCCCCCTCCCTGTTAAACCCATACAGCCTCTATGCTCATCAACCTGACGGTGGCCATCAAGGAATCTCGTGCCTTTCATGGAACACAGCCTGCCCTCCCCACCGTTGCCCCTGACACTGTGGGAGTGACAGCCATGGAGTCGCGTCCGCTGCTGGTCGCCCCTCCACCGCCTCCCCAAACACCTCCACCACCTCCGCCTCCCCCTCCTCCACCTCCACCCCCTCCGCCGCCACCACCACCTCCTGGGTCTTCCTCGCCTTTCAGCCGGGCCGACAGTTCCCGTCGGAGCCGGCTGAGGAAGCTGAACTGGGAGCGCATCCCCAAAGAGAAGGTGGAGGGGAGGAAGAGTGTGTGGAACGGGGCGGCTCCGGGCGAGGACGAGTTCCCCATAGACCTCCATTCTCTGGATGAGCTGTTTGGTCAGAAGGACAGTAAGCCTCGGGACAGAACCAGCACCCTGAGACGCCGGTCTTCTCTGCTGCGCTGCAGATCCCCTCAGGACAGCTCGGAAGAGGTCAGATCATTAGGGTGGCAGTGATATTTTTCAGCTCTTTATAAAGACAGGGAGATTTCTTGCACTTTTCCTCCCCTTAATTGTGCCCTTTGCCTTTTTTTTACAGATTTCCCTGTTGGACTCCAAACGCAGTATGAACATTGGAATATTTCTACGTCAGTTTAAGATGTAAGCTTCAGTGCTGTTTTTCATCTGTTTTGTATCATCGTAAATTGAATATCTTTGGGTTTGGGCCGTTAGTCGTACAAATGAAAAACATTTGAGGCATTCAGGCTTTGAGAAACTGTTATGGACATTTTTTTCTCAACTTTTCATTTAAAAGCCCATATGCCCACATGGTATTGGTGTCGTCATCGGGACTGAAAAGGTCAAATCGGTGCATCCTTATTCACCGTCAGTCAAAATGAAAGAGGAGGAAACAGAAGTGTGTACAACTGTGCCCTGAGGAACAGTACGTCACTTGAGTTGAACGAGAGTGTGTGGCCATAAATCAAAGATTTTAGTGTGTGGTGTCAGAAGTGTGAGGTCTCATCAGGAGAGAGGATGTCTGGTGTCGGAGAGGGGACACAAGTATATTGCAGGGGGACAGGTGGAGGGGAGGGTGCACGCTGAGCAGCAGGACTGGGGGACTTGTAGGAGGGTGGGGGGTAAGTAGCCGAGTATAGCCCGAGGAGTCACAGTTGACACCTGCTGATGCCCTTAAAGAGTGTCTTATGTTAAGGCAACCCTCTACAGAAAGAGACCCCAGGTGGCTTGTAATATCCACCCATCCCCTAACACCTGTTTAGCACGCCGGCCTGCCTCAAACAAAGCTTCTCCTCTTGGCAAGAATAGGGCTGTTTTACACTTACATGTAGTTCAATGTCTGAAAACTGCAGGTTGCAAGAATGATACAAAGAGATGGAAAATAAGTGCTGAGTGGCTATATTGTCATGTGTGCATGAAATGTTCACAGAGACTTAACGGAAGAGCGTTTCTTTTTTTTTTTTGCCTAGATTTGTCAAGACTTGTAGGGAAAGCCATTATGTGAAAAGAGCGTCTTGTGCACACAAACGTTTGTCTTGTTGAGCGCTTATTTGCCTGCTGTTATAAACACAGACAGAGCTGCTGCTGAATTGTGGGTGTAGTTCAAACAAAATATGGTTTTGTATTGTAGTCGTCACTTACTAGTTCAGTTTGTAGGCTATTTCCTGACGCATTTTGTTTTCAGCAGAAAACTAGTTGGGACAGATAACAACACACAATAAGAGTGTCAAACCACGCTCCAGTTTTGAAAGAGAGTTCTTATGAGAATAATTTATCTGGATCTCTCTAGATAGGTAGAGCTATCAGGACATCTAGATAGAAGTGCTGTTGTCAAAGGATTGGATGAATATGGATGTGAATGTTGAGCTATGAATGAGGAGATTAAGCCTCACACACAGTAGTGTAATGGAGTATGAGCATGTGTGATGAGGGGGGAGGGGAGAGGATAATGGAAAACTGCTGGACAGATGTGTCACTCAGAGGAAGTAAGTCAGAGGTCAAACAGTCAGTTATGTTTCTGCTCTTTCACCTTGACATCCCAAGGCCTCTCAGACGCTTTCGCGGCATGTCTGCCTTTTATTTGCCCACTGGATGGATATGCCACCTTGTGGCGCCAGTGTGGCGTCTACCAAGCCTCACTCCCCAACAATCTTTGACTGATAAGAATGGGATAAGCCTGAACACCGTGCGATCAAGGCGAGACAAAGAGCCGGTACTGCTCATAATATGGGTTTTCTTGAGGGGTGTCGTGGGCTGAAATCCCCATCGCACGTTAACAATGACGTCATACCAAAAACATGTCTGTTATCATTTTTCCGCAGGCCTGCTAAGGAGATAGTTGAGGATATCAGGCACGGTGCTGGGGACCGTTACGGAGCAGAGAAGCTCTCAGAGCTCTGCAGACTGCTGCCTGACAATGAGGAGGTAAAGTGCCTTTTGTTTTTGCATACAAATACAACAGTGACAACCCCCTTTCCCTTCCCCTCCACTTCTCTTACTCGTCATCTGGCTCTGGTTAGATGATCAAAAGTTTGCCATTACACCATGTCGTATGATGTGGCCTGTTTCCGGAGAAGGATCACGCTGAAAGATATTGGAATTGACTGTTATTGGCATGTTTTTTCTTTTTCTATTTTTACAATTTAAGCTGCTTTTTTTTCGTTTTGACTTAGCATCTGTTCTCTCTCAGGAGTCCCGCCTGAGGAGGTTCAGTGGGGAGCGGAGTTGGCTTGGAGAGCCTGATCTTTTCCTACTGCTGTTGGTGGAAGTCCCCAGGTACACCCTTAGTCCTAGATTGGATAAAGTGACCAGAAATAGCCCCAGTACTCTCCAACATTTTTTTTTTTTCTAGCATTAAGCATTCGTTTTATTTATGTGACACTAGTCCTGCTCACATGCTTTACTTTGTGGTGACGTGTGCTTGTTTAACTGATGATTGATCGCTTTGTCGCCATCGTCACTCTCCCCTGTCCATTCATCCGTCCATCTATCCATCCGTCCCCCTCTTTCCTCCTCCATTAGTTTTCGGCTTCGTCTGGATGCCATGATCCTGCAACAAGAGTTTGACCCAGCTGTGACCTCTCTGTGTGTGGCAGCCAGATGTCTGAGGGAGGCGGCCAGAGGTAAAGTTAACAGCAGGGAGTTGTGTACACCACCACTATAAAGACCTAGGTCCCTCTTATATGGTCCTATTCAGAATTAGTCTAGAGTGGTAAAGTTTGTACCCGGAATACAAATGCGATTAGCATTCAGAATAGTTTCATACGGATTAAGGAGAAACCTGCGATCAGTTATATATTGTTTGGTCTAAAAGTTTAATTCACCAGTCAGCTTTAGTGTCAGTTTCTTCAAAACAAAGTTGCTGACTCATCTTAAGGCCTTGGTGCCAGCTGCATGCACGTTCATCCTCATTATGCCTCAACCTTGAGGCACAATATCTCTGTCTTCTCTCCTAGAACTGCTGAGCTGTCCTGAATTACACTCCATCCTTCGTTTGGTCCTGAAAGCAGGGAACTACATGAACGCTGTGAGCGCTTCTTCATTGTTTTTCTTTTCTTAAACCCAACAAAGCGGAATCAGTCCTTTTTTTGTCTGTGTACAATGCAGGTCTGGGTCTGGGTATGTGTTCAGGGGCGTCACTCTGACTGTGCACCTGGGTTTTGTATCATTGTTTGTTTAAAGTTGTCCCATGTTGTGTATGTGTGTGTATGTGTGTGTTATTCTGACCTTGTATTTGGCCTCTTAGGGAGGATATGCGGGGAACGCTGCTGGTTTCCGAATTTCATCGCTGCTGAAACTGGCTGACACCAAAGCCAACAAGCCGGGGATGAATCTACTGCATTTTGTTGCAATGGTAAAGAACAACATGTAGTATCCAATCAGAGAGCTAATGGAAAACAACTATTTATGTGCCAACTGCCTCTTTTTTTATCAAATTTGAACACTATTCCTCATGAAGAGGATGTACATTGTGTGTAAATGTATTTGTGAAAAGCTGCACCTTTACAGTAAAAAGGTGTCAATATGTCTGGTTGAAAACATTTGGGGGAATTTCATTATTGCACCGTTTTTGCAAGACACAATTGTTTTTCAGAACAGCGGCCTGTCAAGCCTGCTTCGCCAAGCACATTATTTTGTCAACAATAACAAATGAGGGCTAGTTCTTTTGAAACAATAGCTGGATAATCATTTGTGTTTGTCTCCCCAGGAAGCGGTGAAAAAGGACCAGAGTTTACTGTCATTTCCCAGCCAAATAGGCCATGTTGGCTCCGCCTCCAGGTCAGTCTCTTCCCAAAATTCAGATCCTACAGCAACTGTGTCTGAGGGAATATCGAAGCCCTGCTTAATAACATCAGTACACCCCAACAAAACAAACATAACGTAAATCTATTGCAGAAAATCTATTAGAACAAGGAGCCCAGCTGTTGGCAATAGCTAGCTGCCTGAGAGAAAGTGGGTCATGACAACATTGATACTCCAAACCAATATTTTAACTCTGCAGGAGAGTTTATCTTCAAGGTGCTAAGGAATGACCATTCTTATTTTTGTACTTTATAAAGGAAAGCATTTCCTGCATGCCACTGCAATCTCGTTTTTGGGTGCATGGAGTCCATTTTAAAGTACTGATTTCCTGCACACTTTGAATGATTTGTATGTATTTATCATCTCACAGAGCTATTTCTCTACAGTCCTTGTTCTAATTGTGTATTATATGTCCTCTCTCACTCTGCAGGTTGAGTGAGGAGTCTGTGCTGGAGGACTTATCCAAGTTAAAAAGCAGAGTGGTGGCCCTCAAAGCAAACATCCAGACTGAGGCAGAGATTCTGCAGCACACAAAACTTTTCCTAGAGGTATGAAACCGAGTCTGTATATCAAAAACGTTGCCTAATGCCTTAAATTCCGAAGATGACTGTGTAAACTGTGTGCAGTTGGCTGAGGAGCGTCTGAAGGAGGCGGAGGATGAGGTGGAGGGCATGAGGATGTCGAGTCAGGCTCTGGTGGAATTCTTCTGTGAAGATGACAGCACCTTCAAACTAGAGGAGGCGTGCAAGGTCTTCCATTCGTTTTGCCTCCGCTTCCAAAGAGCTGTCCAGGTTAGATTAAGCAAATATCTGTTGATAAAAACCTGTATATTGTCAAAAATAGTATAGATTTAACTCTGCACTGTTTCCTTCCCCTTTCTACAGGAGAATGCGGAGCGGGAGCTGAAGGAGCAGAAACGTCTGGAGCGTCAACATGAGATGGTGGAAAAGCGTCGCTCCCTGGCTGTTTGCACGGGCCTGGACGTGACTCTCAGCCTGGCAAGAGAGCCTCAGAGTCAGGAGAACCAAGGAGAGCTGGAGAAGCTGCTGGAGAAGAACTTGAGCTGCACTTGGAGTCGACGTAGCCTGAGAAGCTCCGAGTCCCGCAGACACTCCCATTTCGTCCACAACGACGCCCACCCCCACAACTCATCCGTGCTCAAGAGCTTCCCCGAGCTGGGTAGCAGCCCCACGTCCACCAGTTATTACTCCAACAGCTCCTCCGACCACGAGACCACCGCTGTGCTCTGTAGCTCCCCAGAGACTGACGGCACATGCTCCCCCATCGACCAAGAACCTGTTCTGGGTCAAGGGAGCAGGTTTCAGCACAGGCGAGCAACGAACACGAGCATGGATGCAGTTCAGGACTCGCACATCGCCATGTTTGGTCACTTTCAGCACAGACGTGACTTCACAGTCAAGCAGCTCGGGCCTGAGAGCATTTCTTATGTGCTGCAAGGCCAATCGAAGACAACAGGACTTGAAAAAGAAGCTGAGATTCCACATGAGCACGTGATTTCGACTGTCGCTGAATTTTGTAAAAACTCTGCTGCCAAACCTACCGATAAACCCGTCCTTTGTGTTAAAAACCAGACCCCCACTCACAGGCAGAGGTTTGGCCTGCCAGGTACAGACAAGACTCGACCAGTTCAGAGTAAATCTAACAGCTCTCGTGTGAATGAGTTTGTGCCTCACTCTCTTCATTCAAGTGGAATACTTCCTCACAGTGACACCAGGACTGGGACGTTAGGGTACCAGAGATCTGAGAGTGAACCGCAATCTTGTGTAAATGCTCCAGAGAGGATCCAGTCCCAACCACAGGCGAGAGAGACGCCCACCGTAACAGCAAGTGCTGTGATGCCTTTGCCTGATGTAGGAATAGCAAAGCCCACGAACACAGAGGTGGCGTCCACACCTGTGGAGGAAAACTGGATGCCCTCCAGTCTACCGGAGTTCAGCCAATCACAGCGAGAGGAGTACTCTGACTTGCCATGTCCCGAGAGGGAGACGGCAAGGCCGTTCTCCCGCGTGGGCGAAACACTGGAGTGCCACACTCTGGTGAAAAGCCTCCGATCCTATGATGCCTTGTCACCCCCAACATCCCCACTCCCACGACCCGCACCGAGCCTCTGCACCAAGTGGAGGAAAGAGAGGGAGGGTGACCTCCGAGCGGGGACAACTCCAGGGTCTCCTACATCAAAGGAGGAGGCTCGAACCGTGAAGATCCCCGTGCGTAGTGGAATAGGGGCCAAAAGGGGACTCGTGTCACGTGCAGGATCTTCCAATAGCACAAGCATTCCCAGGGTGCGCTCCAAAACTGAGCCTTCAAATGAAGCCCCCACCCCCGCTAACCCATCCCCTCCCAGCCGGCTGTCTAGTCCTCGCAGCATATCCATGCGCTCGTCGCCTATCACACGGCCTGCAGCGGTTCAGACAGATGTGAAACGCAGCAATAGCACACGGGAGAGGACTATAGGTGAGTTACAGACCACAGGGAAGCCCACCGTAACCCGCAGGACCTCAGACAGATCCGTACTGGAGAAGGTCTCAGGCAGCATCCAGCCAGCCTTCATCAGAGGAACCCCTCTCCGTGTGTCAAAAAGAGTCGCCCCAACCTCGGAGACTCAGGCGCCCTACCAGCCTCGAACCGCCCACAGCTCGTCATCCGCCACGGCCAAGACCATACGCACGGCTGTCATTTCTGCTGCCCGAAATAAAACTGCCAAGACAACAAGCACAAGCACGTCTCCTGCCAGCTCGAAAATCCCCACAGTTTCACGGATACCTGGTCCCAAAATGCCGCGAGCTTCTGCAGCCTCGCCATTGTGGAAGTGATGACGAATAAGTGCTTGTAAATGCCCTTTCACACTTTTCACGCTTTCATGGATTATAGTCTAATATAAAAAGTGTGGGTATTCATGAAAAGTGTGAGTCATCAGTCAGATTTATGGTCTTAATTAGATATCGGTCGTCAAAACTCAACTTTTATGAAATTTGTATGTAGTTCTGAGTGCTTATGTTCTACATTTGTGAGAGGGAGCTGCACTGGGAGCATCGGGGACAATTTATCTCATGTGATTCACCCAATAGCAGAATAAATTCTACCTCCTTTTTATACACATTTGTGTCCTTTGCAGGCAATAGGACACCACAAGACCAGCCATCTTACAGTAACTCTTCATATATATATATATATATATATATATATATATACGTATATATATATACGTATATATGTATATAGAACAGCAGTAAAACAGTCGCAAATCGGTCAGTAAAATGCAACCAACTGACATTACTTTGCGTAGTCTTTATTATATTTGGGAAACTGTTTCAATCTCTTGAAAAAACTAGTTTTGTCCAAATGTTTTGAATACTGTGACCCCTCCGCTAAGTGATCTTACTGTACAGTCCGAACTGAACTCAACAATCAACTCGGTACAACATTGACCTGATTATCCTCTTGGTGAGAGGCCTCATTGTTCTGATGCACTTTAAAAACTGCGAGGAGATGATTACTGTCATTTGTATTTTGCATCAAAAGATTCTATAACTTAATTGAATAGCATTGGTTGTTATTCACTGTATTATGTGGATTTATAAAACAAAAAAGAGAAGATGAATAAAGATGGTATTCAACGGTACCTGTGTGTTTTTTGATATATATTCACATCTATTCTTCAGTCTCTGCATACAGACGAGCACTTGCTGTGAGGAGCTTTCACTTTCAAGCTCTGCTCTTGCATCTTGCCGTCCTGTCTTCCTGTCACCCCCACTTTTCTCTCTCCCTCTTGTCTCTGAACTCCCACTTGCTGCATCTCTTGACACAATCACCCCCAACTCTGTCAGTGGCTGTTGTCATGGAAATGTCACAGACGTCCCGGGGAATCTCCTGGCAGAATGGTGGGGTGCAAGGGTTGGGGTGGAGGGTGACTGTGGGTGTAGGGTCCCAGTGGGAATTCTCTCTTTATAAGCTGCAGTGACGCCAGAACCTCTTGGGAAAGGCAATAAACCGGTTCCTCTTTGTGTTTTTGAGTGTCCGGTTGTCGGCCAGCGTTGGCCTCTTAACCTGCCCGAGTGTATAGAGGTGACATCATCAACGGGTCTCCAGGGGTGCAGGACAGAGTAGTCTAAAGTGGTCCCTCTTTTAGCTGCCTTCATGTATCCCGCATTGATCTGACAGCACTGGCTTAGTGAGAATAATAACTTGTCTGAAGGTGAATAAGTAATATGGGCTTTAAGACCAGTGCTCACCAAAGAGGATGGGGTCCAAGGGACAGGATTTGTTTACGGCCTTTGAATGCGGGGTATGTATGCACACAGTGACAAATTTAAGGGGCGAGAATGTGGCAATTTCAAGAGAAGGGGTGAACTCAGAGCAAAAAGTATTTTCATGCATTTACACTCCTTTTGAAATGTTAACAGGCCGGTACAATTTAGAAGCAGTAAGGTTTTGGGACGTCCTTTTCCTTTTTTTTGTCACTTTTGAGAGATGTTATACTGTCTTTGGTTTTTGCAAGGTGTAATATAGGTATTTAAAGTCCTAATAATTGTGGTCAAGGGGTCACATTCATGGAAAACGAAGTTGTAAATATCAAGCCAAACTACATTCATAAATCTGTCAGTTATGACCTTGAAGACAGGCAAAGATGTGTGTGTATGTGTGTGTGTGTGTGTGTGTGTGTGTGACTGGGGACAGTGGTGCATAGTAAGTACATTTACCCAAGTACTCTACTTAACTACAGTTTTGAGGTACAGGCCTACTTTTGTTAAGTACCTCCATATCCTGCTACTCTTATACCGTAGTATTAATTTCAGTATCACATACTGTACTTTATACCTCATTTATTTGATAGCTGTTTGCAGATTTATAAGCATTGTTAGTGCTACTCAACAGTATATAAAGTCATTAATATGAGCTTCACTTCAATCAGAATTAATATGCAGTTTACAAATTTAATACATCAGTAAACCTAAATATAACTCCTTCAAAGAGTCTATTCTGCACAAACATTTTTACAATATTCTCAATACTTAAATACTCAAAGCCACTATTTAAGCTACCAGAAAGGACAAAACCTGTTCTGTTATCCTGACATTATGTCACCACACTTGCAGTTACTGCCAAATATAAATATTATATTAAACTTTGACTTTTTTCGTGCTGGTCCTGGGTTCTGCACAGACTGTTGTCAACCCAGGTCACATAGAAGTTAGACAAATCCCAGGAAAACAGAGCAGCTTAACATCGCCATCCAGCGTCCATGGAGTGTGACGGAAACAACGATCACAAAATAAAACTACAACTACCAGTTTGCATTGTTTCCGTACGGTGATTTTTACGTAATGGACATCTCCCCGGATGCGGCTGTGATTGACTATACCAGGCAAAAAGAGATCGAAAGCCAAGTGGCGGTAAGTCAAAAAAAATCCTTCAAATGTCTCCGTTACTGCAAGTAACTACTTCTAACATTTGTATTGGAACATAATGTAATTTTTAGAGTTACTTGTGGTATGTTTTTGGGACCAGACCTTTATGAGAAGTGGCTTTCAAATAAACTTTCAACTTGTTTGCTAACTAGCTAGCTTGTTAGCCACTGAATGCGCTAGTTCCTTAGCTTGATGCTAGCCACCGGGGGGAACGCCTAGTATCATAAGTGAACCGTGCGAAATAACAAACGCTGGTAAACAAGTGTCTCACTTCTGATTCACTAGTTGTTTTTGGTTCAAGGACTATAGTTAACTCTGTACACTTTCTAGACGATGTTTATTTGTGGACGGCTGGGATTGTAGCTTACAAATGTAACGTTAATTACGTCGACAAGCTAACTTTGGCGCTGATTAGCTCGTCTGCTAATTGGGTGAAAAGTTGCAATACTGTGAAAAAACAGCTTTCGTAAGTTAATGGCGGCAATTTTAGCATTTGTTGTGCGAAGATTAATATTTATCCTGCTTATCAGTGGTGCTGATGAATGTAACTAAGCATCTCGGTGCATGAATAATATAAGTTACCCAGGTGCCTTCTTCTTGTTGTCAGGTGCTGCAGCCCCAGTGGTCGTAGGCAGGATGCAGACCATAAAGTGTGTGGTGGTGGGTGACGGGGCAGTCGGTAAAACCTGCCTACTCATCTCATATACCACCAATGCCTTCCCCGAAGAGTACATTCCCACAGTGTTTGACAACTACAGTGCTCAGATGAGCGTGGACGGCCGCACTGTCAGCCTCAATTTGTGGGACACAGCAGGCCAAGAGGAGTATGACCGCCTGCGCACGCTCTCCTATCCTCAGACCAACGTTTTCATCATCTGCTTTTCCATCGGCAGCCCCTCCTCCCATGCTAATGTCAGGCACAAGTGGCACCCTGAGGTGTCTCACCACTGCCCCAACGTGCCCATCCTGCTGGTAGGCACCAAGAGGGACCTGAGGGGCGATGCAGAAACAGTGAAGAAGCTGAAGGAGCAGAGCCTGGCTCCTACCACCCAGCAGCAGGGAAACGCCCTGGCCAAGCAGATCGGGGCTGTCAAATACATGGAGTGTTCTGCTCTGCTGCAGGATGGCGTCAGGGAGGTCTTTGCCGAAGCTGTGAGGGCAGTGTTGTATCCAGTCACGAAAAAGAACCCCAAGAAGTGCGTGCTGTTGTAATAAACGGTTCCCCGATTTGGACTGTGGAGAGGGATGAAGGAGATCCACAGATGCAAAGGCTGAGGAATGAACGTCGTCATCTGGCTGCCTCCAATACCACCTCCAGCAGTTGAGACTTTGATTTCAGCTCCTCTGTTACTCCTCTCTTCCTGATTCATCTCCTGGAGGATTTCACTCCGTTGCCATCACCACCAAAGTGACTATGCCAAAATGGGGGCAATAGACCGGATCTCCTTCTATTTTTCTTACATTTTAACTTTTGATATTTACACTTTTCTCCAATTTTACATCTGTTCTAGATTTATAGCTTCTCTGCTTTGCCTTATAAATGCTGATCGTGGTTGTCACAAGCCATAACAACATCGGAACCAACCTATCAAGCTACCCTGACTGACTGGAGAGAAGAGATCTGCCTTTTGTTAAGGTGGAGAAATAATGACTACCTCATACTCTCACCTAGGCTGCATCTCATAAGTATCAAGCAACGTCGCCATCAAAATGCTTTGACTTGCCTATCTAGATGTAATAAACGGCCAAGTAGAGGGTGACCAAGTTTTTAATTTCAAGCAGCTTGAATCCAGACATGATGTGGTGACTCTCAGACAAATGCCAGTACCCCTTAACCAATATGCACAGATTAGAGGTTAAACTCTCGAGCTGCAGTTCCCCTTGTGCTCAGTCTGGCATGTTGGAGCTGTCTGGCAGGCTGCCCTTCCAGGCTCTTGCACTGCTCTCTCTCTCACTGCCACGCATGGAGGAGCCAGTAGGCCTTTGAAGATAAGCGGGACCCATTGAAAGCAGCTGGCCGTTTGCCCTCTTCAGTAATAGAGGAGCAGGTGTCATAAGGCCTCTGCCAAATTAACCCACACTGGTACAGGATTTCTCAAGCTGGCATATCAGGAAGTCAGGTTGTAGCACAGCTCTCCTCTGGCTACGTCTTAACTCTTGAGGCTCACACCGAGTGCCATTAAAACATGCCTAAGAATGTCTCTTTGACAGGGTGGGGTCGAAAAGACTATGTTGTCTAATTATGTTGAATTTACTCTGTAAATGATTTTTTTTTTTTTTTTTTTTCCTCAAATGTTTTTAACCTACGAGTGTGGTTATGGCCAAAGTTGAATATATTTTTTGTAATAGCTTATGTTTATTTGATCAGTAAGATGTTTGTGTGTAATAGATAATACTCATATTTGATAAACCAGAACTCCATAATGCTCCCCTTGTCATTTACATCATTACCTTACATTTAAGTTCAACAGACTATGACCACTGCCTAATTGATTCAGTATAGCATATAACAGCAGAATATGTTCTAACTGGCATTAAATCATTTCATCTTGTACTAGCAGGTTATCTACTATATACAAGGAGCCCTTCATTTGGTCAGGTGCCTTATCCAAACCAAATACCATAGCAGTGTTCTTTTGTTCAACCCAAAAGTTCTCATAGTGATGAAGGTGCCACGAGACATTCAATTCCAGGTCCAACCATTTCTGGCTTTCGTTTCTGTCGTTATTTTTTTTCTGAAGCTCTCCGCCCTACTTTCTGCCAGTAAACACACTCTCTCACCCTTTTGTAAGACACAGGTGTTAAACTGACACAACCGAGCACATGAATCGCAGCGCTCGTGGCCCGCAGCTCTTCACAGATTGTGGTTTACATCCCTGCATTGCAATGGTGCAGTGAAGGCAAGGCACCAGCGCAACTTGCACATATGGTTAGCAAGAGCTGCGTTGGTGGAACGTGCCTTATCACATCTGAAGATTTTTATACATTTTATAAAATATTTTTTTAGTAATGACTGGTTGCTCATTTGTGCTTTCAGCTGCCAGTAATACCAGCATCCCCTTTTTACTACTTTTTTTTTTATAAGTCAACATAGATTGTGGCCCGTGTAAAGTCGAGCATAACCGAAGCGCAGCACGAGCGGGAGATTCTGTGGAACAACAGTGACGTGATTTAAGATCTGCCAAAGGATGTGTGAAAATGTCCCAGATCGGTGAGAGAGAGAGAGAGTGTGTGTGTGTGTGGAGGGTTGAATGTAAGTGCACAATATGTCAAACTGTCAACTGGTGAGCTTGTTTTGTTTTTTCATGTCCTGATTTCACTCAGAAAGTGCTGTTGAAGTGGAACATACACCTGTGGGCTCTCTGTCTGTGTCCTGGAGCTGTATGCTGCCGTGTGCGTGGTACTACGCTTTTACACTGGGAACTTGATTTGTAGAAATCTGTTTGTAATTGTTTTATATATAACAAAAGCATATTTGTATAAATGAACTAACAGTGAGATGATTTTAAATTATGCCAAATAAAATGATGGTTTAAACCGGACACTGTTGTTTTTAAATATGTTAATAGTTTTGTTTCCTTGCTGTTTTGTGACTTGACAAAAGAGCTCTAGTAATACGCATAATCAGCACATTACTGCACAGCTGTACGATAACAATGGAAGAAAACATTCATGTTGAGAACTGAGCCACACGTTTCTCAGTTCAAACCACACTACGTTCCTCTAGCGTACATATTGTAACCTGATTGTAACTTAGTTCATTTCCTCTCCCGTCTGTGTCTTATCAATTACCGTGTCCGAACACTAGATGGACACAGCTCCATATTATCCAGAACGAGTGCCATTTTTGAAAGACAGTTTGTTTTTTTCTTTCTTTCTTTCTTTTCCATACGTTTGGAGTTAATGGTCTATACCCATCCAGGTTTTCAGGGCCATCATTCAACTTGCGACACCCACAAGTCCAATCAGTCGCAGGAGCTTAAGAACCCAGCGTGCTGCTTATTCTGAAAGATTCCCTTGACCTTTATGGGTGGTGGCTGTGACAAATGACAGATGTGTTGAACTCCACCAAAGGCTCATTACAAAATCACTGCAGCAACACTTAGAGCCCGTTTATTTTGCGATTTGTCTAAATGTTTTACAACCAAGTCAACGCTGAGTGTATATTTGCAGCCCGTAAATGTTTTTAACCGCCTTGATATATTGTTTCAGTGAACTCTGCCAAGTATGAAATGATACAAGGAGGCACAACTGAGTAGTGTGGTGGTTAAATAAGATGAGAGAGGATGAGCTACTGTTGCTGTCTGCAAAGTGCTTAACTAATGCGGATTACTGCGCCTCAGGCCGGTTGAGGTCATCCATTTTTAAAGGTGTGTGGTGTTGTGTGTTCTGAGCTTCCTGCTTTCCTTTTTGTCTGCACTGGTTAAATGAGACCTGAGACTCATTCTGTCTACATGGATATTTGTAGTGAGCTTGACTTCATTGTTGATAATTTGGCACAAGCCTGGCTTTTCCAGTTCTTCAAAACTGTTGTCATAGCAACAAGACCATTAGCCCAAACCTTATTCACAGTTAGGTGGATCATGATCGAGACCGTTGAGGGCGAAGCCCAGACATCGACCCCCCTTTTCAGAGAGAAATGACCATTACCATCTATGTGGTGTGATTATCTTACATAATTATAATACAGACTTAAATGACCGGTACATGACAAAGTACATAAGAATATACATTTAGTTCTGGATACTCTCAGCAAAAAGACATTACGCAGCAAACGCAGCATTAAAAGACCAATAGAACAAGAAGGAAATGGCATGTAACCAGGGCATTATGAGGGGACTTTGTCCTATCAATACTGAAATGTATTACATGTTCATTCACTTGCAGGCTGTATGTTGTTGGACTTCACAATCAATTAATTACATTTTTATATAATAGACTTATCTGGATGGGAATAATCAAATACAGCTACTTGAAGGTTTATTAGCTGAGCTAGGTTTTATTGTAAGTAATGCTGCTTTATTGTTAAATTAGAGAGAAGCTCGCCTATCCAGCACAAACATTGCTCACGATCTGACGACATTGGCTCACAGTCAATAATTCTATGTCAGTAGTGAAAGTGTGTAAACCATGGAAACTTGTTTTCCCTAGAGGCCTCTCTACACACACGCCTCATATAAATGCTGATTTAAGTTTCTACTCTTATGTGCTTTTATTAAACCCAGTGTTGTGACAGACGCCACAATGAATGGGCGTTTAGTTTACGGTGTGCTATATACGATGAACGTGGATGTTTTTCATGCCGCGAACCTTGTGTTTGAACGTATCAGAAGGTGAGATTCTTCTCTGTGCTCCATCTCCGCCTGGTTGATAGAAATATACAGTGCAGGGTGAGACAACCAGCAGATATGCTTTCTGTGAGTCATCAGCGTGGAGCGAGTGGGAGTGCTGGCCTCCGTCGGGACTTTGATCTCAGCTCTGTCTATCGCTTCTCAATCTCCCTTTATCTCTCCTCCCTCTCACTGTCCGTTTGATGATGTTCTGGGTAAAGCCAAAAGGATGGGCAGCTCTCGGCATTATTCAGTCAAGGAACTGTGGAGATTCCTCTTCTTCTGCTTGTCTAAAGACGAAAAAGCAAAAGGCCTTGATCTAGCAGACGGCCCGCAGCAAGACTGGGACTGAGAAAGCTGCAGTTCTCCATTCAAATCAAACTGTTCCAGCAGTGGGAGAGGGAAAATGTGATTGCAAAAAGAACACAGAGGCCGTAAAGGCCGTAAGCTGTGTTTGCAACAAAATAGGACTCAGTGGAGGAGAAACAGTGTGGTGCTGAGACACTAATGGAAAGACAGCAAATGGGCCTAAAGAATGATTGAGTAGAGAAGACTTTGGTCTTCAAATGTAAATTCCAGGAGAGGGTGGGTGACAGAGGGAAAGACTGGTGGGTAAAGAAAGAAGCTGTGGTGATGTGACAGTCTTCTACTTCCTGAGGTCCCATGGGCGGAGTGGTTGGTTGAAAGGAACAGTTTGACATTTTGGGAGATTGGCTTGTTCGGTAAGCTAACCCACTGCTGGCTGTAGCAGGTTATCTTAGCTTTGCACAAAAACGGTGAACAGCTCTGTCCAAAGATAACGGAATCTGCCTACAACAGCACCTCTGAGGCTGACGAATTAAAACCAATAATTGATTTCACTGTGAAGACAAGACTCCAGGAAGTCACTGTGTCCGGGTGAGAAATAGCACACAACCTCCTTTAAAACTATACTTTGTTGTTTTCACTCCTCAGCTTTTGTATGAATTAAAAACAAATAACATGAATATATATTATATATATATATACAAATAATAAGCTTTAGAGGTGCTCATTGGTGGATTTTGTTACAGAGCCAGGCAGGCTGTCCCCCCTGTGGTCCATCATGCTAAGCGAAGCTAACCAGCCGCTGGCTGTAGCTTCAAATTGAACGCAGTGTCATCGATCTTCTAATCTTATTCCCAGCAAGAGAGTGGATTAGTGGATTATTACCTAAAATATCAAACTAGTTCTATAATTGAGCAGTTTATTTGAATGTTTACTGTAATATTGCCAACAGCTCTGGGTACAGAGATGGAACCAGCTCAAATGAAGACCTGCAGGCGCTGAACTATTATGAGCGAGTAAAGAGAGACGCGAACAGAGAGAAGAAAAAGGACAGGCACACAGGTCTACTATGTTGGTTTGCAGTTCGGAGGTGTTAAACTGGCGTCTGCGAGTTCCTGAAGTAACAGCGTTGGGAACAGAAAGTCCTCGAGTGCCCTCTTCACGCTCTTGTTGCTCGAACCCGTTTTTCTGAGAAAACAAATGCAGAATGAAACCGGGCTGATTAGATGTCCTGTGTTATGTGGCCATTGTTGATGTGCGAACCCTCTAAATACACAAGAGGCTGTTCACACGCTGTCATTCAGCGATGTCTGTATCGCCACAGCGGGGAGAGGCCAGATGGCACGGGGTGCCTGAGCAAGTCAACTCTGACACTTTTCAGAAGCCCGCTCACACCAGCGCGCGGGTTTGGAGTGATGATGTGCGAAAAGGGAAGAGAAAGAAAAAGGAGAGATCTTTGTGGGACAAACCGTGGTTAGATAGTAAAGGCAATCGATGAGCGGAGTATGAGCCTCGCTGTTCTTCATTAATATTGGATGGGACATATGACGGACCACGCACAGAGAGCCTTTTGCCCTTCCCAATTACCAGATATAACTTTGGTTTTATGCTCTGTCGGAGCTGTCATAACTCTTAAATGACGAGACAGTGTGAAACCAAACACTGTTAAGTCTAAACAAGCCACATTTCCACGTTCGTCTCCTTCCCTTTCCTCTTCTCTCTCTCTGTTGTCAGCTATCCCCGGGATCTGTCAGCAATGGAGCAGGACCTTTTCACAAACTTGCCAATTCAGGCAGCGAGCAGAAGGTCACTCGGTAACATAGGCCGGCCCGGTACCGAACCGACACATTAAAGGTCGCCAACTCTCAATAAATCTGCAAACCCCTCAGGCAGATGAACGTGCAACCTGATGGACGGACGGAGCAGTCAGACGCTGTTCCTCTGGAGTCTTGATGCTTCATTGCTACAACACGTACTTCATCCATTATGGGAGAGAGTTGGTGTTTCTGGGACTGTGGCCTCAGTGTGTGCCGAGGCAGAACATCCTGTGCTGCCTTGATTACTGCTCTCCTGCAGTGCTGTGCCTGCTTTCATCCTACCCGTCTCATCTTTGAGGAGCAGATTTGACCGTTCTGCTCACATGGAAGTAGATTGTGTGGTTTAACCAGGTGGAAAATGCTTTCTAGAGGAGAAGGGAGCTATTTTTCTTCCTATCCGAGCTTGGAGTTATTCCATGGTTAGAGACGATCTCTTTTCCGTTGCGTATCTCTGCTCTTTGAAATGCATATTTGCATCTCATTGGCTCAGTTTCATTTGTCAGGGTTTTGTTGTCATCGAGGATGACACTGTCACGGCACTTTCAGGTGCTATAAGCTGTGGAGGAAAGCGTCCTCACAGTCCAAGTGTTAATCCAATTGTCTTTAGTCCCATGTGAGGAAAAGGGGATTGGGTTCTCTGTGTGCATGTGAGTGTGTTTTGTTCCCTGAAATCTTTATGGATTACTTTAGAGGTCATTCTCTGCAGTTGAGCCTCTTCTGGACAGGGCACACGTCTTTGCCTCGGAGGCTGGTGTGCTTAGCTCTCAATACATAAACCTCATCTCCTGCTGTTGGTGCAGTGTGGAAGCTGCATTTCAACAAAAAGACCAAATGAAATATGATCTGCTGATTTAAAAAAAGCTGTCCC